TACGCGTTCGATCAAAACAAAGGGGGGAAAAAAAATAAAAAAAGTACCGTTGACTTTTCGTAACTCGGGGAATCGTTGAGAATCTCGAAAGACGCGAAATGAAACAAAGGACTCGTCGCGAGACAAGGCGTTGTCGCGCGAGTCCGTCGAAAGATATGTATATTCTTGGAGATAACGTCCGTGCATTACGACTCTTCAAGTATTTACAAAGTTATCGCCAATGACTCTGCAATGAATCGCACGTTATCGAGGCTCATCGGAAAATGTATTATTGCAACACAAGCCCGATTAGGTGCAATTGCGCGTCGTAAGCCAAGTGTCCTCACCTAGACCGTGTCTTACACTCGTCCATAATTATCGATTGCTATTATATACCGACCGTATAGATGATGTCTGAATGTAAAACAGGAGGCTTCGATCTGCGGCGAAAAATGCTTTCAATCGCTAACATCTGCTTTTGACAAACGTCAAAGAGTCGTACACACATTTGCCAAATTTATCCAATTTAATTTAAAGTATGTCTTTTATCCTTAACATTTTTTATCAATGTAATATATAAGTATATATTATAGTATTTATATAATACATTATATGTATAAATATATGTATATAATATATTATATAAATTTATAAAAAACGCTAATCGTTTATCAGTATTAATTATCGCATTGGTTATCAATTTTCTTCGAGATAGTTGTCATCGATGTCTGCTAGCAGACATTCTGATAACATAAATATAACGATTAACGTCGGGGAAAAGAATGACTCAGATATTCATTTTTCGCGTATACGTGGCAAGCGTCCTTGCGTTCGCGGAAAAATTAAAAAATCGATAATATTATAAGATTGCGGTTTAATAACATTTTGATTATTCGAAATTATAATAGACCAAGTCCCAGCGGTATCGATTAAACCGATTTTCGGTATTAAATAGTTGGAGATAATCAGATTTTTTTATGCCATGCGTGGAAGTAAAAAAAAAGTTAAACACGATACCGTGTTGAAATAAAATAACATGAACGATACGAAGGGCGAGTGTCCCCTATCGATGTTTATTATGTCCTTTGTTCTGTCGGCTTACAGAGAAAGCGATGTGGGCCATGAAGTTTGAGTTTCATTGTTAGAGAGAAGCACTTTCGAACTGCGGTCGATATTACATAGACAAGGCTATGCACTGTTGAATTATTAGGGATGGACGAACCTGTACAGCTGCGCAACCCGATTAGCACTGTATATATCTCTCTCTCAATTAAACAAAGAAGTAGTAATAAGAACAATGTTCCTTTCGCGACATTAGTTATCGCAAAATGTACAGATAATAGCGGCTGAAGATTATCGCAAATGAAATCGTCAGATGATCAGTTTGATGCTCGTCAGAAATGTATTGCCTATAGGAACATTTATAATTTATCAGACTTTTATTCAAATTTCTTGTCTCGCCTGTATGTAAAGGAAAACATACTGGGAAAAGGCAGTAATTTTCCAGCAAAACCTTGCCTCGACCTTGACATTCGAAATCTCGAATCGGCAATATAAAAGCCATTCTGTTGTTTTCAAATATAGATAAAACGCAATACTGGGAAAACGTTTCAAATAGCCTGCGTTGTATCACGCCTACCTATGGGATTTTGTGGTCGCTCTTATCGGTATAGATAAATTTATCTTCATAATCAATAATGTCGCGACACATAATATGATTTTAACAAAGTAGAATATTTTAGCACATGAATATGGAACGAAAAATTTTAAAGGTCACAGACCGGTATAACGGTCGATCACAAACAAGATCTTGTTCGATCTTTGATTTCATTGTATTGCAGCCAGCAGGAGCAAAAATAAATTCCACGATATATCGTTTATTAATAGGTCATCGATATCTTATCCGAAGTATTTCTTACCTTAATACGTCATATATTTCTCGACAACCTGTCGAAATATATTTGGAACGATTTCATATTTTATTTCGGATCTTCAGTGAGAATTAAGGTAGACTCACACATAGACGTGTAAGAATCAAGAGAGCGGCTTATCGTAGGAAATTACACGGCCCGCTTGTAGAACAAATAGAGACCGATGGCAACGTATATGTACATAGTGATATGCTTCACAAAAGTGTTGTACCCTCTTTCCAATCTAAAAAGTTTACATTTGAGCGAGGACGCATGTATTATATAACTAATGTCAGAGAAACCGCGTATTACGGAAATGATCGAAACCTTATACTCTATATACAATGAACATATATTATTATGTTCAGTATATCACATGTTCACAGATCATATGCGATACTGCATATTTAAATTGCCGCTATAAGCAGAAATAATAATACATATATAGGCTGCTAAAAATCACGAACATTACAATAAGAATATAGAAATGAGGAAAAGATTCTTATAAACATGAATATATTAAAATTTCTTTTAAGAAATTGATTTCAAGTGAATTAAATCTTCATAGATGCTAATATAAAAATAACAACTTTTAATTTAAACTTAATATTATTTAGAGATTCTAATATAGTCCTTAATTAATGAACTTAGTTTCTAGATGGTAGTGCGTTTTGTCTAATTAAAATGTAAAAAATATCTAATCATATTTTTGCTCAAAAAGACTTCATTGACTTTAGGTCGGCCGAATAATCCTTAGATAAAGTTTGTACATATCTTCGGCTTTCTGCAGTTTATTAACAATTGTTTAATATATCAGAGAAACGAAGATTTCTCGTAAAAATTAATGACATAATGAAAACAATAGTTAATTGCGATTAACATAATATATAATAAAATTATCATTACAGTTGACGGGGGTTATGATAATATCGGTCGGCACGACGATCTACGCTGTTTATGAGAACTTTTCGCATTTTCTGGATACGAGCTATTTTTCACCAGCCACCGTCTTAATCGTGATTGGAATACTCGTCTTCATAATTGCTTTTATGGGATGTTGCGGTGCACTCAGGGAAAGCACCTGTATGGTCCTTGTGGTAAGCAACCGAATATCGTATTTCTCTATCGTATTTCTGTTTCAAATGGTATTCTCTTTCCGATACGCATCATTCCGATATACATTACATTTATGTACTTCTAGTTTGCAGTCTTGCTGTCTGTTGTTTTGCTAATGGAACTCGCCACCGCTTTTGCTGCGTATGCCTTGCAAGACGGTATTAAGGATCTTCTGGCTGAGAATATCAACCTGACGATGCATCAATATGAAAAGAACGAAGAAGCCAAGTTCGCAATTGATTTTATGCAATCTAGAGTAAGATAATTGATCGTTCTGTGGATAAAAATATAAAAAATCCATTAAGACAATTGACATTGATCACACTCTACATAACATTGAATTGGAAATGACATATTTTTTTTTAGATTTAACATATTATTTATGAAGAAAGAAATATTTTGGAAAAATAATTGATCTTTTATTTTTTCTTATTTTACAGTTACGTTGTTGTGGGTATAATAGCTACCTAGATTGGAACTACGTACCGTTCAATAATACGCATATAGATGTACCTGACTCTTGCTGCGCATATCTAGTGGATGAGCTTTCAGATCGCTGTTATGGGAAATATCAGGAGGGTTGTATCAGCCGCCTTTCTATTATTGTTCAACGTAGTGCGTTATACATCGGCACAGGAGCTGTAGCGATCGCCCTTATTCAGGTTAGTAGATTAAGCTTTTTTTTCTAACATAACTCTAATCCCATTTTTCGCACGTCAAAATTCAGAATCGCTGATCCTATCAAAAAGTACTTGCAGGATAAACTACAATTCTGAACAGTAATTTATCTGAATAAATGATAAATCTACGTAATTGT